TACATTTCAATGTTGTTAACACACAGTAGCCAAAAACCTGATTTAATTTACATATTCATACTGAGTTTGCAGCAAATTTGCAGCAAACAGTAGAATGTTCGCCACAAGTTTCCCAGAATTGTTTTCCGAAGTTGCTGCAAATTTACCGCAACAGTTTTCCCAAAAACTAATTTACATGTGAAAATATGAGCTGGCAGCAAATTTACCGCAACAGTTTGCCACAACTAATTTGCATGTGAAAATATGAGCATGCCGCAAATTTGCATTAACTGTTTGCCAGAAGCCTGTTTTTTCAGTAAGGGTTGTACATTCACTCTGCCAAAACAGTAGACAGACACTCACCCTTCTAGATAACTTGAAACTGTCTAACCAGGTCTGTGTCTTCAAGTTGCCTAGGCTAGCTAAAGCAAGCCAACTTTTTTTGCCAAGTAGCATCATTAGCCTAGTGTTCCACCATGGCAAAGTTGGTTTGACATTAGATAGCCTATCTCTGGGGCTAGTTGTGGGCTGTCAATAAATTACAATGTAAATGGGACAATATTTTCATGTTGCACATCCTTTAGTTGTCTCATTAAATGCTTTCAATATTTAAATATACATTTCTACAATTTATAGTTGGTTTGTTGTCATTGAAATGTGGAGCTATTGACAGTTTAAAATATTGTCCCATGTACATTGTGTAATTTACTGATGGTCCTTAACTAGCCCCATAGGGATATCAAATGTCAAACCAAAGTGCAGCTGTGCTCCAAATGTATGATTACTTGGGTGTTGCTGTGGACTGGATTGAAATAAACCCAACCCAAGGAAGACTAACGGTAGCCTTCATTCCGTTTTGGACGAGACTGACTTTATTCCCAAAATTATCCTATTTACAAGTTGTTGTTAATTTTGACACTAGAATGAATGTTTGACTCATAGATGCGACATAGGCATGGACCACTTTCAAAACTAGAAGTTGCTTTTTAACTAAATTATAATGTATTTTTGTTTTTCATATCGACGACAGATACTAGCTGTTGCCATGTCAGTCTCAGAACTGGAATGGGTTTCTTCTTTAGCTACTGCAATATGTATTTGTGGTCAATCAGAACTATCATATCTTAAATACTGTATAGTATGTCTGTCACACAATGAGAAAAGGTCAAACAATTACAACCACATTTTTATTGGTTTGTTTATACCAATCATGACACAGATACATCTATAAACAAAGAATACAAGAACTGTACACCTGTACTCGATACCCAAAACCCACATGAATATTGCTGGTTTGTGTATTTGACAGCTCAAGTGGATGTACAGTTTCTCAGCATCCAAGGAACCATAATCAATGGTATGTTTCACACTTATGTCATTAGCTTGGCTAAGAACACAGAATTCCATTCACAATGTACCATTACACACTGCATATAGAAAGTTTGAAAACCTTTTAAACAGCAGCTGTCCACATTTATTGCAATGCTATCACAGAACAGAGACAAAACCAAATACACGCAATGCACAGGCCTGATAGGGAGGAACTCCAGTGCTAGGGAATAGGTTTATTAAGCAGAATGGTTTTTAAAAAATGGCATGAGTACAATAGTTAACATATGGAACACAGCTTACAAACATTCTAAAACATCTCATTATAAACAATAAAACAATGTGTTGCCCCTTTAGTAATTCATCCCCACCACACAATACAGGTTACAAATACCGTCCCTCATATAGCCTATGGAATGTTAGTCTCTCAGGCAAGCTCTCTGTTTTGACCGGATCCTGTAAACAACGTGCTTGCATGTTCTTGATGCAGCAACCTGGCCCATTCCCATCCCTTCCCCACGGCAAAAATAAAAACCTTTGACATTTACAATAACCGTAATTGTTCCGGAAATGTAAAAATGTGGGATGTGATGAAATCCGTCTCCAAATGTATTTGTTGTTTCATAAAAAAATGTGTTTCTACAATCAAACTACTAAAAAACTTGCATTTAGAAAATAGTCGATAAAAATATTCCCCTGAATTGTACAAGAAAAAGAGGAATAGGGAGCACTGATAAAATATGTTATTCTGCTGCCTCTTCCTTCTGTTCAGGTTCTTCTGTGGCTGGTTCCTGAAAATCAAAACATAGCAGATTTTTTTTAAAGCACAAAAAAATTGAGAGCACCATATCCTCATGCCATGCGCATCAATTATATTGTTTTTTCCATTTATCTGTAAGAGGAAATGCCTACATATCCCATCAGCCCCTTACCTCTTCCTCAGCTTTGGCTTCTCCATTCTCTGCGGGCACCTCCTTCTCCTCAGGCGCGGCCTTCTTCACCTCTTTAGCCTTCTTGGGCTTAGGTACTGCCTTCTCCTTCTGTGTGTGTATATTATATATATTTTAAATATGTTAAGAAACAGTCCTTATTTGCACTTAATTTACTATTAAATGTACATTTGACAATGTGTTAAATGTCAGCACTTCCTCACCTTTGGCTTGGGTTCTGCCTTTGGAGGGCCGGGTTTCTGCAATTAAAGGTGTTTTAGCGAGTGATTCTTAGCTGAAATTGTCTGTATCTTAAATTTAAGTGTCTAAAAAGGTGTGTAATATACTCACGTTTACCAATCTCTCAGATCTCCTCTTGGGCTGCAAAATATTTCAGAAGAAAATAGCAATTATTTGGAGCAGATTTTGACATGGGTTGATGCTGACCTCTGGTGGCAAAGCAATGGAATTGTACTCTGAACATTTAAATACTTAAAGAACCAGCGAGAGTGCATTGATAAAATAATATTTGAATAAGACCTTAAATCACTCACCTCTGCTGCCTCAGCATCAGCGTTTGCCTGTGATAAAAGGAGAGACAAATGTTAGTGACAGCTCAGCAGGGCAACCGTGTTAGGTGGGTTTTACTGGGGGGAGGGTCAGTTTAAATGCCATTAGTATTAGGGAAATTGTGTAATCCAAAGTGGGCGTAAGGAGGCAATGGTGTTATGGGCACAGTCTAGATATAACTGCTCGTTTGTTCCATTTACGTCATGAACTACCTAATACAGATACAGTATATAATAGTTTCAACTTGCTTCAGTCATTTAAGTAATGTACCAATTGACTTGCCAATGATTATTACCTTGGGAAGATCTCAATTGCGTGACCCTAGTCTCCTTCTCAAACACCATTGGATGGAAAAAGCCGTAGGTCCCGCCCTTCTGACCTTTTCCTCCAATGGGTTTTGAGAAGGAGACCGGACGCGAGGAGTATGCAATTACGATTTTCTCCATGCTGCTTGTGCTCTCTACTGAGAGGGGAATACCGACTCCGCCTCCTCCGGACGCATTCATTCACTAGTGGTATATGGAAATTTGCCAAGCAACATGACTGTCCTCCTCCTCTACGCCGACAAGCCAGTCTACTGTGCGTTCCCGCCATTCATTCGAATTTCGAACTCTCCGAGATCCTCAGCGACTCTCCAAATGGTTACAGAATCTACTAAAATCCCCAGCAACAAGAGCGGCGCTGTGATGTCGACGAATCGCCATTGCATAACTCAATGTCTCGAACCAACAACAAAACGAAGGGCACACAAATAAAATTAAACCACACAATCAAACATTCTAAACGATGCAGCGTGTTGCATGTGTGAACTTTTAAGCAGATTACGTTGTAACTATGAATTTTGATATTGCAAAGCAAGAAAAACGTCGTCAGTGTTTGTCTTCCTCACAAGGGCAGCCATGACACACGACTTTGTGCCCTTTTTGAAGAACCCTAGAAGCAGTCTTCTGCATACCATACAGCCCACCGTGCGTTGAACATATATCCCAACAACTAAATTATATATGAATGATATTACACTATGTCAAAAGGATACACGGAATGCAATTACAATTAAATGTTATTTTACAATAAGTGCAGTCGTATTTGCCTAAAAGATTGTCACCAACTTTATTTCTGGAGAATAGCCATCTCACGACATAGTTAACTACCTACACCTCTTTGTCTGTCTTTATAGGTAAATGTGACATTTTTTAAACAACCACCATGAAAAAAGTGACAACCCCCCCACCCAATTTACAATAGATCTGATAAGGTAAATATTAAGCACCAATCATTTAACCAGTCAATGTTCGAAGAGTAAAATCACATCGTGAAAGAGATAAGACGAAGAAAACCCGCCACTTCCCAAATCAAAACAGAGTGATACATTTTAAACTCCTGACTGCACACAACAGCAGTGCAACAATGTTGCAGCGAAGCGATCCAAAACAACTTACATTTACGGCTACATTTAAACAATTGTACGTGCAAAAAGAAATGCATTTCATGCAATTGCGTTTTTATCTATCAAATTACACAAAAATAAATAAATATTCTACTTACTTTGCTCCTTTTAGGCATGGCTGTTTTGCGTATTTGTTAAAAGAAAAAAAGAGGGCAATGTTCCAAAACGGAGCAAGAAAAATACTGTTCGGTATAAGATTCAAACAGTGCGTTCTATTACAGCGTAGCGAGACGTTAATGTTCCATTGGAACAAAACTAGCTCAAACCGGATTGGATTCCCCCCCTCCCCCTTCTCAATTCATTATAGCACTAACCTGACCGACAAGCCACTCTCCGCCCCTGGCCATTGATTGGCTTTAGGAGTCGTCAACACATTTTCAAATCATAGCGAGATACCTGTGTGTATATCTTTACATAACAATCAGATCTATATTTATTTGCCTTTCGATGAGGGGGTGGGGAACCACGACACACACTCTTCATATTGTTTTGCCAAAATGTTGGTTAAAAAGGCAAGCTCCACATATGAAGACATTCCCTACACACAATACCCCATTTGATCAGAATAAAAAGTAACATAATGCATTATTTTGATACATGTAGGCTATTTTTTTGGAAAATAAATAGACAGGCCAACTTCACTAGGCAAAAATACAACATATTCAGTAAAAAAAAAATCTACATCGGGTAGAAAGTGAAGGGGGTGTGCTTCCCTAGCGACGGCTATTGTAAATAATCAAAGGAAAATGGCGACTGTGTACGTCTGGTTGCTGGTTTTAGGGTCTGTGGTCTTGTGCAACCTCGTCAAAATGTTGTTACCTTCAATTTCCTCCTATGTGAGTATGCCATTCATGCGGTAACATTGTTTAGAAATTGTAGCCCAGTTGTACCGGTAAATGTGTGTTCAAACTTTTAAGTTGCGTCGGCATGTTTATCTGAGACATGATGTTCGTTCTCCTACTGGGAGAGATTGACAAAGACCCGCTGGCATTTAATGGCTGGTGGTGACTGTGCTCATCTCCCTCTCACCACAACTATGTCATCTGCGCTATAAGTTTATTTGACTCAATCCTCCCTTGCTCTTTTTAGCACCATAAGCGTTTGCAGTCTAAAATATGACATTTCCGTGATATAACGATAAATGCCAGATGTGGGTATGTAGTAAATTTGAGTTTGAAATCTGGAAAATAACATCACATGTATAATGGACAAGCAGAGTCTGCTGTGCATATCTCATGGGTTTAGTGCTATGACAAAGTGATATGGATTCAAGTGAGTTTTCTCCATAAGCACCATTTAAACTAATGTAAAATCTTGTCAGATCCACAAACACCAAATCCTGTGTTGCCCACATAGTAGGCCACAGTCGCAAATAGTGTTGTCACCATACCAGCATTTTGACTTAGTTACCGATACCAGGTTTAAAATATATAATTGACACTCGATACCTTGACAAAAAAAGGCATATTAGCTAAAGTAATCGAATGGCACTTGATCCAGACAGATAAACTCTGCTACTGCTCTGTCAATTATTGTATGCATTCATTAATAAATTATACAATACATTTTACTTTGTTTTGACCAATATAAATACATAACATAATGGTATTTGAATGGTACATCTCTATTGAGATGGGTAAATCAAGATGTAGCTTAGGGCCTATCCACAATACAAGTGAATGCATATTCAGTAGGAGTGTGTGCATGCATTAAGTTGTTGAGCTTGTTTTGGCTGATTTCATGGGGCTACAGGTGACATTTGTTTCCCTTACATTTGGGACTTATTTGTTGTACTGATCAACAACATTTACTTAGAAGTAGCTACTTTGATAAAAATGTGCTCTGTCGCTTTAATCAGTAATGACGTCATTCAAAAGGCAAGAGGGGAGCGGCCCATCGGAGCAACAGAGGCTATAGATAATCTTTGAGAGAGAGAGAGAGAGAGAATAAATAAATACAGTTTTTGCGTCAATCAGCTTTGAAATCAGCATTTTTTGTGTTATGGTTTGCATAATATCACAAACAAAGTACTAGGGTAGTGAATTGATGTTTGACTCCTGTAGCTCAGTTGGTAGAGCATGGCACTTGCAACGCCAGGGTTGTGGGTTCGATTCCCACGGGGGGGCAGTATGAAAAATGTATGCACTCACTAACTGTAAGTCGCTCTGGATAAGAGCGTCTGCTAAATATGTAAAATGTAAATGTTAGCTTTAGCTGTCAGCTAGCAAGGAAAGGTAGCCTACAAAGCTGGAAGCTACCAGTATCTTGTTGCATTGTAAAGTGTTCTAGCCTGTATGGACATTGTTTTGCGAACAGTAATTAACAGTTAAAAAATTTCTACATGCTGTGTCGCATTATTCAAGTGTGTTAACTTCTGTGCAGCATGAGTGGGGAGCTAACATGATGCAATCCAAACATACCAAGACAGTCGTGAAGAGGGCACGACAAAGCCTATTCCCCCTCAGGAGACTGAAAAGATTTGGCATGGGTCCTCAGATCCTCAGAAAGTTCTACAGCTGCACCATCGAGAGCATCCTGACTGGTTGCATCACCGCCTGGTATGGCAACTGCTCTGCCTCCGACCGCAAGGCACTACAAAGGGTAGTGCGTACGGCCCAGTACATCACTGAGGCCAAGCTTCCTGCCATCCAGGACCTCTATACCAGGCGGTGTCAGAGGAAGGCCCTAAACATTATCAAAGACTCCAGCCACCTTAGTCATAGACTGTTCTCTCTGCTACTGATTGGCAAGCGGTACCGGAGCGCCAAGTCTAGGTCCAAAAGGCTTCTTAACAGCTTCTACCCCCAAGCCATAAGACTCCTGAACAGCTTATCATGGCTAATTTGCCATGGATCAGTGCTAATTCCTGCACTTATTTTGTGCTAGCACCCTGCAGCTTGATAACATAATTCCCTGTGATGATACCTTACTGCATAGTTCACTGTTAAGCAGGCTACCCCAGCCAGTCACTGCCCAGTAGTAAAGTGAATCAGAATGCACCTCGTGTATAACATGCTTAGAAACCTTTAGATTGATATTTTTGGCTGTATTCTTCTTCTATTGAAGCTGTCCAAAGTTTTCCAGAAGAATGTGGAAGATGAGGTGGAGATGAGGGCAGAGATTCAGGCCATGAAGAAGGAGCTTTCTTCCATCAACATGATGGACGAGTTCGCCAGGTACGCACGGCTCGAGCGCAAGATCAACAAGATGACGGACAAGTTGAAGACTTATGGTAATAGTGGATGGCATTATGTCTCTGTCTCTACCCCTCTCAACACTATGATCGTGTATGTACATGTTCTAGAAATTTTACACCAAAAGGCCTCACACAACACCTTATTCAACATAACCAATATATTTGATTAATCTACAGTCCACACAGACAAGTATGCATTGTTTCCCAAACTTTTTGATTTTCACAAAATTCAATGTACAGAATATTTACCATAAACACTATTAGTATAATGAGACATGGCGGAGGTATTGCACAAGTTGTGAATATCACCAATTGTTTCCCTCCCTTCTCTTAGCTGGTTTAGTAGGCGGGAAAACTTTTTACTGTACAATTTGCTCCATCTCTCTATTGGGGACTAGGCACATGTACACTGAGTGAATAAAACATTAAGAACACCTTCCTAATATTGAGTTGCCCTCAGAACAGCCTCAATTTGTCGGGGCATGGACTCTACAAGATGTCGAAAGCATTCCACAGGGATGTTGACTCCAATGCTTCCCACAGTTGTGTCAAATTGGCTGGATGTCCTTTGGGTGGTGAACCATTTTTGATAAACACAGGGAACTGTTGAGCGTGACAAATCCAGCAGCTTCTTGACACAAACCGGTGCACCTGGCACCTACTACCATACCCCGTTCAAAGGCACTTAAATATTTTGTCTAGCCAGGCTCTGTCGAAGCCGGCCGCGACCGGGAGACCCATGGGGTGGCGCATAATTGGCCCAGCGTCGTCCAGGGTAGGGGAGGGAATGGCCGGCAGGGATGTAGCTCAGTTGGTAGAGCATGGCGTTTGCAACACCAGGGTTGTGGGTTCGATTCCCACATGGGGCCATAATGTATGCACTCACTAACTGTAAGTCGCTCTGGATAAGAGCGTCTGCTAAATGACTAAAATGTAATGTAAATGTGGCCCATTCACACTCTGAATGGCACCGACAGACATGGCAGCTCTGCTTCTAGCTCCGAAGCAACTTTGCAGTATATACAGTGGGGGGAAAAAAGTATTTAGTCAGCCACCAATTGTGCAAGTTCTCCCACTTAAAAGATGAGAGAGGCCTGTAATTTTCATCATAGGTACACGTCAACTATGACAGACAAAATGAGAAAAAAAAATCAAGAAAATCACATTGTAGGATTTTTAATGAATTTATTTGCAAATTATGGTGGAAAATAAGTATTTGGTCAATAACAAAAGTTTTCTCAATACTACCCTTTGTTGGCAATGACACAGGTCAAACGTTTTCTATAAGTCTTCTCAAGATTTTCACACACTGTTGCTGGTATTTTGGCCCATTCCTCCATGCAGATCTCCTCTAGAGCAGTGATGTTTTGGGGCTGTCGCTGGGCAACACGGACTTTCAACTCCCTCCAAAGATTTTCTATGGGGTTGAGATCTGGAGACTGGCTAGGCCACTCCAGGACCTTGAAATGCTTCTTACGAAGCCACTCCTTCGTTGCCCGGGCGGTGTGTTTGGGATCATTGTCATGCTGAAAGACCCAGCCACGTTTCATCTTCAATGCCCTTGCTGATGGAAGGAGGTTTTCACTCAAAATCTCACGATACATGGCCCCATTCATTCTTTCCTTTACACGGATCAGTCGTCCTGGTCCCTTTGCAGAAAAACAGCCCCAAAGCATGATGTTTCCACCCCCATGCTTCACAGTAGGTATGGTGTTCTTTGGATGCAACTCAGCATTCTTTGTCCTCCAAACACGACGAGTTGAGTTTTTACCAAAAAGTTCTATTTTGGTTTCATCTGACCATATGACATTCTCCCAATCCTCTTCTGGATCATCCAAATGCACTCTAGCAAACGGGCCTGGACATGTACTGGCTTAAGCAGGGGGACACGTCTGTCACTGCAGGATTTGAGTCCCTGGCGGCGTAGTGTGTTACTGATGGTAGGCTTTGTTACTTTGGTCCCAGCTCTCTGCAGGTCATTCACTAGGTCCCCCCGTGTGGTTCTGGGATTTTTGCTCACCGTTCTTGTGATCATTTTGACCCCACGGGGTGAGATCTTGCGTGGAGCCCCAGATCGAGGGAGATTATCAGTGGTCTTGTATGTCTTCCATTTCCTAATAATTGCTCCCACAGTTGATTTCTTCAAACCAAGCTGCTTACCTATTGCAGATTCAGTCTTCCCAGCCTGGTGCAGGTCTACAATTTTGTTTCTGGTGTCCATTGACAGCTCTTTGGTCTTGGCCATAGTGGAGTTTGGAGTGTGACTGTTTGAGGTTGTGGACAGGTGTCTTTTATACTGATAACAAGTTCAAACAGGTGCCATTAATACAGGTAACAAGTGGAGGACAGAGGAGCCTCTTAAAGAAGAAGTTACAGGTCTGTGAGAGTCAGAAATCTTGCTTGTTTGTAGGTGACCAAATACTTATTTTCCACCATAATTTGCAAATAAATTAATTACAAATCCTACAATGTGATTTTCTGGAAAGGAAATTCTCAATTTGTCTGTCATAGTTGACGTGTACCTATGATGAAAATTACAGGCCTCTCTCATCTTTTTAAGTGGGAGAACTTGCACAATTGGTGGCTGACTAAAAACTTTTTTCCCCCACTTTATACAGTGAGGGAAAAAAGTATTTGATCCCCTGCTGATTTTGTACGTTTGCCCACTGACAAAGACATGATCAGTCTATAATTTTAATGGTAAAAACCCAGAAAAACGCATGTCAAAAATGTTATAAATTGATTTGCATTTTAATGAGGGAAATAAGTATTTGACCACTCTGCAAAACATTACTTAGTACTTGGTGGCAAAACCCTTGTTGGCAATCACAGAGGTCAGACGTTTCTTGTAGTTGGCCACCAGGTTTGCACACATCTCAGGAGGGATTTTGTTCCACTCCTCTTTGCAGATCTTCTCCAAGTCATTAAGGTTTCGAGGCTGACACTTAGCAACTCGAACCTTCAGCTCCCTCCACAGATTTTCTATGGGATTAAGGTCTGGAGACTGGCTAGGCCACTCCAGGACCTTAATATGCTTCTTCTTGAGCCACTCCTTTGTTGCCTTGGCCGTGTGTTTTGGGTCATTGTCATGCTGGAATACCCATCCACGACCCATTTTCAATGTCCTGGCTGAGGGAAGGAGGTTCTCACCCAAGATTTGATGGTACATGGCCCCGTCCATCGTCCCTTTGATGCGGTGAAGTTGTCCTGTCCCCTTAGCAGGAAAACACCCCCAAAGCATAATGTTTCCACCTCCATGTTTGATGGTGGGGATGGTGTTCTTGGGGTCATAGGCAGCATTCCTCCTCCTCCAAACACGGCGAGTTGAGTTGATGCCAAAGAGCTCCAATTTGGTCTCATCTGACCACAACACTTTGACCCAGTTCTCCTCTGAATCATTCAGATGTTCATTGGCAAACTTCAGACGGGCCTGTATATGTGCTTTCTTGAGCAGGGGGAACTTGCGGGCGCTGCAGGATTTCAGTCCTTCACGGCGTAGTGTGTTACCAATTGTTTTCTTGGTGACTATGGTCCCAGCTGCCTTGAGATCATTGACAAGATCCTCCCGTGTAGTTCTGGGCTGATTCCTCACCGTTCTCATGATCATTGCAACTCCACGACGTGAGATCTTGCATGGAGCCCCAGGCCGAGGGAGATTGACATTTCTTTTGTGTTTCTTCCATTTGCGAATAATCGCACCAACTGTTGTCACCTTCTCACCAAGCTGCTTGGCGATGGTCTTGTAGCCCATTCCAACCTTGTGTAGGTCTACAATCATGTCTCTGACATCCTTGGAGAGCTCTTTGGTCTTGGCCATGGTGGAGAGTTTGGAATCTGATTGATTGATTGCTTCTGTGGATAGGTGTCTTTTTATACAGGTAACAAGCTGAGATTAGGAGCACTCCCTTTAAGAGTGTGCTCCTAATCTCAGCTCGTTACCTGTATAAAAGACACCTGGGAGCCAGAAATCTTTCTGATTGAGAGGGGGTCAAATACTTATTTCCCTCATTAAAATGCAAATCAATTCATAACATTTTTGACATGCGTTTTTCTGGATTTTTTGTTGTTGTTATTCTGTCTCTCACTGTTCAAATAAACCTACCATTAAAAATATAGACTGATCATTTCTTTGTCAGTGGGCAAACGTACAGAATCAGCAGGGGATCAAATACTTTTTTCCCTCACTGTATATTTTTTGTGTGTGTTATTTCATACATTATTAGCCCAGAAAGTTTTTTGTATTATTACATACAGCCGGGAAATAACTTTTGGATATCAAAGCAGCGGTAACTCACCAGCATTACGACCAGAAGTACGACTTTCCCAAATTCGATCCTTTGATCATATCCCCCAAGGCAATTGAACTTATCCCAGAGGCTGCTCAAAGACGCCGCCGGTGGAGAAGAGGTATTCGAAGTGGACTTCTAGTCCGACTCAGGAGGCGTGTACACCAACCACCGCTTCCGAGTATATTACTTGCTAATGTTCAGTCCCTGGACAATAAAGTAGATGAGCACAGGGCGAGGATCTCCTTCCAGAGAGACATCAGGGACTGTAACATACTCTGTTTCATGGAATGATGGCTCTCTCTGGATATACTGTCCCCGTCCATACAGCCAGCTGGGTTCTCAGTACATCGCGCAGACAGGAATAAAGAACTATCCGGAAAGAAGAAAGGCAGTGGTGTATGTTTCATGATTAACTACTCATGGTGTGATTTGTGATAACGTACAGGAACTCGAGTCCTTTTGTTCACCTGACCTAGAATACCTCACAATCAAATGACAAGTGTGTGTGCTTACCTCCCAAGATAATTATCTTCAGTTATAGTCACAGCCGTGTATATTCCCCCTCAAGCCTATACCATGACGGCCCTCAAGGAACTACACTGGACTTTGTGCAAACTGGAAACCACATATCCTGAGGCCGTATTTATTGTAGCTGGGGATTTTTAACAAAGCAAGTTTGAGGAAAACGCTACCGAAGTTTTATCAACACATTGCCTGTAGTAATTACGCTTCAAAAACTCTCGACC